ATCTACAACTGGGCCCTTCGATCTACAACTGGGCCCTTCGATCTACAACTGGGCCCTTCGATCTACAACTGGGCCCTTTGATCTACAACTGGGCCCTTCGATCTACAACTGGGCCCTTCGATCTACAACTGGGCAGTTCGATCTACAACTGGGCAGTTCGATCTACAACTGGGCAGTTCGATCTACAACTGGGCCTTTCGATCTACAACTGGGCAGTTTGATCTACAACTGGGCCCTTCGATCTACAGCTGGGCAGTTCGATCTACAACTGGGCAGTTCGATCTACAACTGGGCAGTTCGATCTACAACTGGGCAATTCGATCTACAACTGGGACCTTCGATCTACAACTGGGACCTTCAATCTACAACTGGGCCCTTCGATCTACAACTGGGCAGTTCGATCTACAACTTGGCAATTTGATCTACAACTGGGACCTTCGATCTACAACTGGGCCCTTCGATCTACAACTGGGCCCTTCGATCTACAACTGGGCCCTTCGATCTACAACTGGGCCCTTCGATCTACAACTGGGCAGTTCGATCTACAACTGGGCCCTTCGATCTACAACTGGGCCCTTCGATCTACAACTGGGCCCTTCGATCTACAACTGGGCCCTTCGATCTACAACTGGGCCCTTCGATCTACAGCTGGGCAGTTCGATCTACAACTGGGCAGTTCGATCTACAACTGGGCAGTTCGATCTACAACTGGGCAGTTCGATTTACAACTGGGAATGATCTGCTAATTATAAGAAAAGGCTCATATCTCAGGCCATTGACTTTAAGGATACTTCAAATGCCAAAAGCATTTTCAAAGACGGGTTTGGCCAAAACTGGTATCTGATATCCTTATGCCAAAAGCAGTCTTTAATTACGAATTTTGTTATATGATAAATTTCTCTGAAGCTACAATTTCAAGATATTTTATTGTTCTAGCATTAAACATTGGCGATAAACTATCGCGCTTTTGAAAAATTTAGTAAAAAAATTGTTTTCTCACACAAAGAAAAAGATAATCTCTTAATAGCGAAACCAAGACAGCAATGAAAAAATGAAATGATTTCATATTACAATAATAATAGTATTATTATTATCATAATTATCATTATGGAAATCGTCTGCAAAACATACTAACTTCCCAAGAATCTTTATAACCACATCTTTTTAACAAGTATCCTCGACTGGTTCAAGGTGCAAAGTAGCATGCCTCGGAATATTTCCAATTGTTGCTGGCTGCAAAACATATCTGGAACAAGGCCGATACACATAGCGACATAACTCTATCTTAAACTTTCTAGCTGTCTCTTAAAGCTGTTGATGAATCTACCATCTACGCTGATATACCTGGTTTTCTTTCACCATCAATCATAACTGGAGAAAACCTTCGTCCGGATCTTCTCTTGAGGACTAACAACAATAACCTGTACATCTTAATAGCGCCAAAGCGTAGATGTAAAATCGATGGGAATTGTGCAATTCACTAAGCTAGCATGAAAACTGGCATACCTACCCATTCTGATACGCTGAAAACGATAAGAAACAGAACCTAACTGTGAAATGCCCTCAAATGCTACTTTTAGACAAGGGTTTCTCGGACCCATATGGATCCATAATCAACAAATCTGACGTTATCTGATACGCTGAAAACGATGATGAGCAGAGGTCTTTGGAACCAGTCCTCTTTCTGTGTGATTTTGCTTTAATTTACAGAATAAAGTTCTAAAATCAACAAATTTGCAGTAATTTGACGCGCTGAACACGATAGTGGCCAGGTACATTTCATGAACATTCTTTGTAAATCTTTCTGTGAGCTCTCTTGGCATCTTCGGCAATTCCTGCTACGCATTCTTCAAAATATGTGACCTCTCTCCATCGATCAACAACAAAACGGTATCTCATCTCTAAACTCTCCAACATTGCCATCCGTACTACGTGACTACTTATTATTTTGTTGCAAAAATAAACCGTGGACAAGCCCAGAATGACATCCTTTTTAATTTTGGCTGTTATTTTATCATTTTCCCTTTTATCTAAAAGTTTTTTCTTGTAAAACCAGGCTAGCCAATGGTAAAATGAAATGATTATATACCTACATTTCTCGCTCGACATCACTATATTGATTCAGGAATCTTCTAAACAGATACTCAAGATCCTAGGATGGAGAAAATTATACGCAAATGAAAATATAATATTCTCCGAGCCTTATCCAGGTTTTATGACGTCATCTAAGCAAGTAATACTGACATTGTTTCGACGATAACGGCTTTATCCTTTCCTTGAATGTGTGGAATTAAACTGAAAATCTAGGCTAGTTCTAAAATCTTTTGACATGTTATATGCACCTCGGTGTCATTAATACTTCCAACAACAAAAATGGAGGATGTGTGATTTCGAAAAAATCGAATTGTTGATACGCGGAAATCATCATAACATTGACAAAAACAACAAACCTCCTTCACGACTTGTTTTCCTAGGTTCTTTATGTAAAGTCGACTTGACGGCGGACCTCTGTCGTAATTTTTCATCTGAGGCAACATTTCCAGATCTGAAATAATGAGTACCATTCAGTTAAAAAACTGGCGACATTTAAAGCATCGTATCGCCCACCATTTGTTCCCTCATTACCTCTTAGCAGAAATATCAAAAGTAAACTGCTCTAACTGAGTTTGTCAAAATACATTTAGCTCTATATTTTTGATCTTAGTCTGACGTTTCATACTCTGAGGAGTGTTAGACAAAAAAGTTTTCAGTAAGTTTGCTTTTTTCAAAGCCTTTTTCAAATTTTGTACCGCCAAAAAATTGTTCATACTTAGCTCTATTACCCATGGCAAAGTGCAGAGTTCAGAAATTGCTCGTCCTCTATCTGATAAACAAACCAAAATCGCAAAAATCTTCTGCAGAAAAAAAGGTAAAAAGAGGCGTGGTCTTGATGAATTCGTTATAACTCATTTGTTTTCAACAACCTTTGCCGTCGTCAGTCCTGTCACAAGGAGCCTAGTTAATAGAGGACGTGGGGGAGTCATTTAATTTTTCATTAGTTGGTTGGTAAAATCATTAGCTGATCGGTTAAGGTCTTGAAAATGCCAGTCGGTCGGTTTACAATTTTAAGCTCATTCAATTTTCTGAATCAGTTTCTGAATTCGAATCACATATCCCCGTGACAATCGTAAGTTGTTGAAAAAACGATATCGTTATCTCACGAAATGCCATTTCACTTTGACGCTAAACCATCATCTAATAAAAATCCTTTGGCTCCTCGTCACATGGAGAATCTCTCCTCAAACCACGCATAACGCTTTTTAAGAAACCTTAAAGTCAGTAGTGAAAAAGGTAGTTTGACCGTCAATTTTTGTACTTTGCAGAGACCTGGGTACATAAAAAAGAGTGAAGGGTAGCTAGATGCTTAAACTTCAACCACCAGCGATTTTGGTTTGAAGAATATAAAGTAAAAAGCTAAAATTTGAAAGTTATTACACTGTAATATATGCTAAAACCATTAATACCGTTACAGGATTCAAGAAATAAGGTCACTGAATAAGGGAAAATATATAATTTGAAGCTAACAACATCAACAAAAAAGAGATTAGCTGGCAGGAAGAAAACAAGGAAATAAACAACAAACTAAAATAAAAACAGCAAATACAGAATGTAAAAGGTTTTTGCAATAGATCCTGTTTCCTTTTTCATCATGCAATTCAACTTGGAGCAAACTATACGTGATCCTGAACAAGAGAACAAATCGAGGGTCTACTGCCGGGTAAAGATTAGAGGAAATTTTTGAAAGAGGCAACCGAAGAGTAAACGAATGTGAACAAATATATAAGTAAATAAATAAACAGCTTTTTGTTATTGCTGTTCATGAAACTCCTTAATTTTTTATAATCATATGCACTACCAAAATTACGGAGCACGAATTTGTCAAATGTTGCTCTTGAGGTTGTTCCTTGATATCAACTGCTTTCCTTACCCAGCATTTCCGTCCATAATTAATGTGCGGCATGATTAGTGTTACATACAGGCTTTTGAGGGTGTTTTCGTTATAGGTCAAATGCTTTTGCATAACTTTTTGCTTAACTTGCTTGCATATAATTTTAACTATTATTCTGCATAAAGAATCGTCAAGTTGCAATTACTCAATCTCTGGTCCAAAATTGAACAACACTGACACCCTCTATGAAAATGCATTGTACTCCAAGTGAAACAAAATGAAGTTTTAACGAAACTTGCACCGATAATATTGCGATGCAAACTTATACCGCCTATGCTAAGCTAAATTCTAGAGACCTATATCCTAAGTTCATTCTTAAAACGTTCGCCTTTTTTCTCCCTAATAATCCTGTTTAGAATTAATCCTGTTATCAGTCTCTATTACGTGATCTGACATTAAAATCCATTTCTGACTTTACAACTGAACCTAAAGACTTGATATGGCATATAGCAGCACGCTCTAATTTGGTACAATGACTTTTTGACAGAGTGAGTCGTAGGGAATCCTGGTTAGCTAATATAAAAACTTGGAAATTTATGTGAGGGGGGGGGGGCTGCTAAAAAACATTCCGCCTATTTGAATGGAATCTGTTAATCATCCTAATCCTGTGTTTCTAATCCAGCAAGAATTTTGAAAACGCAACGGTTTTTATGTTCATCTTTCTTATTTGCTTAGCAGAAACTTAACTCGCATATTTAACATAACTCATTGGCGCAAAATCAACTTCACTAGATAATCCGTTTAGCAAGTATTCTGGAAATTTTTAGCAAAGATAGTGTTTGTCAATTCAGTATTAACTAAAACTAGGCAATAATCATCCTAATCGTACTGTCATCATGGGAAAGATCGCAAAACAGTGAACGTCCGAAATTCAGACTTCGTAGGGAAACAATTTTAATTCGAATGAACAAAAGTCTGAATTATCAAAAGTTAATAAAAGAATGATTATAAGAAAAAAGCAGTGTGATTGTAACAGAAATATTCAAATTACATCCTGCATTTGAAGAACAAGGATTTTACCATTACATACGGTAAGAGACAGTGAAATTCCCAAGGAGAATAACGGGGTTGGGTTGGACAGAGTAGAGTGGGGCTGCAACAGAGTTGAATGGGGTTGGACAGAGCTGAGTGGGGCTGGAACGGAGTTGAATGGGGTTGGATTGGAGTGGAATGGGGTTGAAAAGGTGTGGAATGGGGTTGAAAAGGAGTGGAATGGGGTTGGAACGGAGTGGAATGGGGTTAGAACGGAGTGGAATGGGGTTGGAACAGAGTTGAATGGGGTTGGATTGGAGTGGAATGGGGTTGAAAAGGAAAGGAATGTGGTTGGAACGGAGTGAAATGGGGTTGGAACGGAGTGGAATGGGGTTGGAACGGAGTTGAATGGGGTTGGATTGGAGTGGAATGGGGTTGAAAAGGAGTGGAATGTGGTTGGAACGGAGTGAAATGGGGTTGAAACGGAGTGGAATGGGGTTGGAACGGGGTGGAATGGGGTTGGAATGGGCTGAACAGGCTGATATGGAGTGCAGTGAATTGAAAAACATAAGCTAATAATAAATATCCTTTATTAAATAGACATGAACCTGAACGAATGCAAGAAAAAAGTAAGCGTGAAAGTTTTAAGTTAACTTCGCCGCTGCTCGTTTTATTCTGATTTAACAATCCTCAAGGTGAACTTCATTCGACTGTCCTCTATTGATAATGATTTAGGGCCTTATACCCCACATTTCATTCGTATTCCATTATATTTGAAAGTAGAACTCTGTTCGCATCAATAATAGGGTAAAGAACACTACTGGCCCTCACAGAGATATTTTGGCAACTTTTCTAAAACATGGAGGGAAATTTTATTGTTAATTTCACCCCTCTGTATGGAACTTAGCATTGTAATTATGGGAATGTTCATAAAATATATAGAAATAGCTGAGCCCAGCAACAGAAAAGCGAGAGGGGTAATGAAAAACAGGCACGGTGTCATTTCGAAATTGGCTCTGAGGAGTGTCAGACAAAAAGCTTTTAGCCAACACACGTAAAATGTTGGATCTATTTACTAAAATATTTAGGTATATTTATTTTGTTTGCCTATTATTTGCATCAATTGAGTAAATAACTTTCTGCACCATTGCAATGTCTGCATTTTGGATGTGTAAATATGATTTACTGAAAGAAGCTCCACATTTCTGTTGAGGAAGTAAAATTCTCCCTATCAATAAAACAGCTTCTTATCTTGTTGTTCACATCGATGTGCACTCTGGACTAAAGGTCACCCTTTCTTTCTTTCTTTTATAAACGTTTCTGAGAATGGTCGAATTGTCTATTTTGAGCCTCGTGGATCCTTCTATCTCACTAAACATGATTCTTAGACCCACCCCGCCCCCCCCCCCGCCTTTAAATTTTGTGGTGCGGTTCTGAAGAAGAAAATTTGATACCAATATATTCACCGAAGTTAGATTTTGCGTGTCAATTTGTGTCAGCTTATTACATCAAATAGGCGACGATGACGTCACAAATAAGATTAACACTTAAGTAGTACCGTTTAAAAGTATATTGTTGAAAAGACGGGAATCATAAACAGAACCGCAATCCGTGTCAAAATATGCGAGGTAAACAGGATCAAGAGATGACCTAAACCAAAGTACTTCGAAGACTATTGAAAGACGAAAGAAAAAACTTGAAATTAACGACTAATCTGCAGTCTGTTCTTCGTGCATCTGGGTGCCTTACGCACACAAACGTGCCACATAGAAGGCGATATGAATTTACATCAATACTTCTCTTACTTGCTGCAATGCAATTCCTCTTACCAATTTTACGTGAACGTGTAATTACCAAAAACTAGTTTACCAATTTTTCCCATACTATAAACGAGAGTTTCCGTTTCTTAATATTTGAAACATCGGGGTGTTAGAACATTAATGTAGGGTGAATTTAAAAAATTCTTAGCTTGTGGATAAATTGCAAAATATCTGGGTTGAAATCAATACATTTTGCTTAGGTGTAGAGCAAAAATTATCCTGATAAGCTGAAAGCGATAAATACCATTTCCACGGGTTCAAAGCAATCCCATTTCCATTAGAAAAGATTGAAAGCAATACTATCTGGAAATATTTAAAGCGATACCACGAGGAAAGGTTGAAAGAAATACTATTTGGAAAGGTTGAAAGGAATTCCATTAGGAAAGGTTGATGGCAATACTATTTGGAAAAATGAAAGAGATACGACGAGGAGAGGTTGAAAGAAATACTATTTGGAAAGTTGAAAGCAATATCATTTTAATAGATTGAAAGCATAACATTTTGGATACTTCGAGGCAATATTTTTTAGATAGGTTTAAAGCAATGCGTATTGCATAGGTTGTGAGCAATGCTGTTTCGATAAGATATGCAGTTTTTGTAACAACCAAAAGAAAAACCAAGATTCGACGACGACACCTGTCTGTTAACCAAGCAGGCCACCAATCACCTGCAAGCGCCATCATTCCAGCTCTAATTTACAATCGCATCGTTCACTTGAACCTCAAAAGAACCCAGCTTAAGAAATTGAAATCGATAGAAGCACGAGCCTCCTCTATATTGATATCAAAGGCATGCGACTTTAAACAAGAAAGCGATAAACATGCTCTCTTACTGGTGAGAAAGTGTCTAAACGGAAATGTGTGTTCAAACTTTCAAGATTATTTTACAATCAACGACCGCAATATGAGGACAAGGGAAAGAAATATTCTTTCGCCAATTCCAAAACTTAAACTGGAGTTTGCTAAGAATGGCTTCTTCTTTATGGGCGTCAACTTGTACAACTTACTTCATAAAGACATCAGAAAAAGCACTAGTGATTTTGAGAACAAAGTAGATTCATTTTTTAATTAAACTATATTTTTATAGTATTTTAAGTAAATAAAATGTTTATAGTTTATAGTAAATTTTAATTTCATTTGCAAGACATTTTATAGGTCTTGATTAAATGGTACGAATATCCTAACATTTATTTATTCATGTAATAGATATATTTCTCTTTATAGGACTAAAAGGACACATGCTGATAGCAGTTTTTATTAACTGAAATGTACATATCCTTTTAAAATATTCATTATACATACATACCTACATGCTGACACTATTACGAAGATGATTTAGCATATCAGCTCTTGCTCTCTTTTCACAACAAAAGTCTCAATACAAATCTTGCAAACAACAGAATGTTAGCGACTGACAAAAAGAGCTACAAAATCAGCTGGAAAAAAGAGTAATTACAGATAACGTATTGTTTCTACTCCTCGAAACCACCCGTCTTTGAAGGCCTTTAAAAAAATGACATAGCCTAACAAGGGGGGCCATTTAGTAACCTGACGCCTGTCACCAACAAGGAATAACAACTGAACAACACTGCTGCCTCCAAAGGGATGGCTTTCAAAAGAAACACTGCCAACAAGCAATCTAAATGTAACCAATTTATTCTAGACTCAAAAACATCAAAATCGCTCAAAGGAGGAAATGGGCTGGTGCATGTTCATAAGAAAAAAATTTCCAAAATCAATGCCTTTTTACCTCATGTTTTAAAGTTCTATTTATAATATTGAATATAAAAATTAAAAAAGGAAGAAAATGTTTATATTTATTGAGAATAGGACACTTGGCTTGATCGCTCTCATTCAGTTCTGCAAGGTACTCTAAATAACTTCGTCTCTTTATCTTTTATTGATCAATTCTATTAAAGTTTACTAAAGTTTTTGCTGTTAATAGTAATCACTGACGGCGAGTTATATGTAACTTTTTAAGTAGTTAATGTATTGCTGTTAACAATATGTCCCAACGCCTATTACAAGGCAAGCATTTTTTATCAATGGCAAGGCAAATGTTGATTAATGATTTCTTCTAGCATGGATCAATCAAGAAACTGCTTGGTAGTGTAAAGAAGGTCTTTCAGCTAGAAATCACCAGTCGGAAACAAAAATATTTAAGATATTTTGATTGCAATCGTAATAATGCTACCCAACGGCCGTTCCTCTTTCGAACATTACAAATCCAATCAAAATGAAATCCAAATCAAATCCAAACATAGAAAGCTCTTACCAGCATCTGTCATTCTATTGCAGCGAATTTCCTCCAATGATACAAAATCCTCGCCAGCGCCATGAAATTCTTCTTCCTCCTCCTCTTCCTCTGCTGGTGACGGCTCAAAAATTCCAAAACCAGTATTTTCAGAATGACCACTGTTCGGGACCAAAGTTTCTTGTGTGTGTTTTTCCATCGTCAATGCTGGTGAAGACATGGGCAAGACAGTTGCAGCAATGTTTGCAGCAAGTTTAAACTCGATGCGTTTCATTGAAACTTGTTGGGACGGCTCGAAAGCATTCTCGACATCTTGTTGTTGCTTGGGTTTTCTCGGCCTTTCAGCAGTCACATTAGCTGCTCTTAAACGCCTTTTTTTTCTTTGCGGCTCTAAACTGCTCTTGGACATGTCACCAAAAAGATTTCCAGCTGGACTGTAATTATAATGCTAGGATTAGGATTCCACACAACGGATATTTCCAAAACCATTGGATGTTGCGATCGACGCAGTAACAGTATGAAATTGAGCAATTTTATTTCTTCTCCTTGTTTACAGTGTGGTTTTTGAAGAGATGTTTGCCAAAACGAACGATAAATATTTTATTATCAAGATGCTGGTTGTGCAAATCACAAAATCGCATACCTCTTGCAGAAGGCATCGTATTACCAGAAACTGGCAAAACAGTAGTTAAAATACGATATTACAAACTTGTTATTCAATATTACTCCCAAATCCATAGATGCAATACCTCATGCTTCGATCAGAAAAGGGCTTCAAACACAGCACATTTCTCGACTGTGGGGCATAATACTAGTCGAACTACTAAAATTGTGCTTATTCAAGCCAATTTGTTATTTGAACGAGAAAATATTTATTGACTATTTATAGCTAATACAAAGGAGATGATGAGATATCATTTGGAGTATAGATGTAAGAGCGAAGGTTCGGTTGCAATTCAAGTTTTTAAAGCAATTAGTAGATATCATGGCTAAGATTTCTGTCAAATACAATAGAAAACAGACGTTATTCATCACTTTTCTATAACAGCAAATCACTAAAAACTTTTCATCTGGAAATTTTTGTAATCTGCTGGCCATGTAAATTTTGCAGCAATCCAATGATTGAATAATACTTTGGTAGATTTATCCCCAACAAGTTTGTTGGGGATTTATCCCCAACCTGACAAGCTTTATGAAATAGGATTTGGGGTCATTCTTAATAAACTTAATTAACTGTTCTGACTACTGCGGCTTTTTAAAAGTGAGAACAAGGTAAGAATAGCCCACAATGCCACAATATCAGTTTAAGGCATAGATTAGCATGTTAATGGGATTTCATTTTCCAATATTGAAGCTGCTCTGCTGCTGGGGCCACTGGATCTTCTTACAGCCTAAGGACATTTTTGTGCAATCGAATGCTAAGATTTTTTAAATAAGGAGCCATTCTATGCAACATGTAAATGAATTGAAATATAAATTGAAGATGCGCAGGATGATGCCATCGACAGTTATGAATAAACGCCTTACCGCTCCTCTTGGTCGCTTTCTAGCTCAGATTCTTCGCTTGATGCATACAAATGCAGGTCACTTGTATCAACGGCTTCGTCTTTTAATGCCACTGAATCCCCTGGCTGTCGAGCAAGAATCAACAAATTAAGCAACTGTATCCAGCAAATGGTATATAAATGGTAGGGCTTCAGTGACAAGTTTCAGTGACAAGCTTCGGACGGCAAGGGCTTCAGTGACAAGTTTCAAGTCAACATTCTCAACTGACGGATATTCAGGTTTACGAGGGCATATTTAAGCCATGGAGTGGTGCTACACTCAACAACAGTCTTGTACTAGAACTTTTCTTGCAGCCCCCTTCACCTAAACTGAATGTAGCTTGGATATCCTGAACCAGTCACTTATTAAAAAGGTGGCTAGAAAAGTTCAGGCCATGATTCTTTTTAATTTTTTATCTAAATATTCAGTTTTAATTAGTACTGATTTTTTGGTGGTACAAAAAAACTTAAAAATTGCTTTGAAAAAAGGAAACGTTTGAGTATACTAAGGCTATCGGGCAGCATTTACTGGAAAACCCAGATTGTGCAAATAACTATAATGGCAACATGTTTTGGATTATTGGTAAGGCCCGATCGTCGTTCCATCTAGCAGTTTTGGAATCTATCTACATAGGCACGAATAAACCGCTTTTTTGTAGATAGAAGAAGTACCTTTGGGCTCCGTTGGTAACATTCTCAATAAGCAAGCGTAGAATTTTTTATCTATGTTCTGGTTTTATACTCTGAGGAGTGTCAGACGAAAAGCTTTAGTATACTCAGATGTTTGCTTTTTTCAAATCAATTTTTTTGCGGTACAGAATTTGAAAATGGCTTTGAAAAATGCAAACATTTTACGACATACTAAAAGCGTTTTCGTCTGACACTCCTCAGAGCATAAAACGTCAGAATAGGTTCCGAAAAAACACGATGGAAAATATATACCCAGTTGTGGATCGAAATAGGCCAATCAGAAAAACGCAAGCACAAGACCGGTATAGTTGACCAATCAGTGCCGCGAGCCTAAAGAAAAATTACCAATGGAGTCCAAGAGAGAAAACGAACTCCTTTTGTCTACACAATGGCGGCTTTTTCGTTTTTATGTAGATTGACTCCAAAACTGCTAGATGGAAGGACGACCGGGCTCTGCCAATTATCCGAAACATGTCGTCATTATAGAGTTTTGCACAATCTGGGTTGTCTAAAAGATGTTGACCAATGGCAGAATCACTTGTTTTAACAGTGTTTCTAGACCTACAAGATCGAGGAGGCTGTTCTCTTTGAGGGGCAGTTTTGTTTCGTATGTTGGAAGGAACATGCTGTTTTATCCTATCCCCCAATCTTTGGGTTGTGCGTCCTACGTAGCCAGAATCACACTGGCACATAAATTCATAAATGACGGAACTTTTTTGTTTGGTAGGAACGCAATCCTTTTGAATGGATGGAAGGGCTCTCCTAGTGCTGTAAACAATCCGAGGATTGACAGCAAAGAAACATTTGGTTATGGCTTGCCTAATCTGACTCTCGAATCGCAAGGAAGTGTTACCAATCCATGGTAGTTTCAAATAAACTGGGCACTTTTGCGGACCAAACTTTTGAACAGCCGAAAAACTTGCGATCTTCTCCTTAGTATAAGATAAAATGACGTCTTCAGGATAGCCGTTGTCCAAGAAGATCGTTTTGAGTTTTTCCAGTTCAGCGTGCAGTTTAGATTTCGAGCAGATCATAAGTGCCCTATGTACTAATGTTTTGACAAGGTTGACTTTGCGTTGTTTTGGGCAAAATGAATTCCAGCGTTTGTACTGACCGGCGCTATTTATATACTGAACCTTAAAGCAGCGCTATTTAAATAAAATGAAACAGTAGGTGCAAATATAGGTTAGACTGATATTTACCAAAGGAGGCGTTACTGTTGGGCCGGTGAACGGAGGAGGAAGGCTCATTTTGTTCATAAGATGTAGAACCTGTAAAACAAAACAATGTTTGTCTCTCTGTCTAATAGTTTTAAGACTGGGTGCCAAACGACGCTGCAAGAAAGTGCACACACGTATCATGAGTCCTCAAACACTAAAGTATCCATACACAAATCGAAGAGACTTCAACGTAGAAATAATTTGAAGCTATACACATGAAAGCTATTGAAACTCAGCCTATACATTAACATCATTTCAGAAATTACCCTTTCCACATCAAAAAAGTAAAGAAAAAAGATAAAAGGAGTTACGTTTAGGAGGCACCGATAAGTGGGAATGTCCTGTTAGTGTGGAAACAATAACGATATTTAATATCTAATTTAAATATTACTGTTAATAAAGTAAAAATAAACTATTTCATTTAAAAATGCAATGCCCAGTTTGCCAAATGTGTAACACCAATTGTGTTTTCTTGTTTAACGTTATATTTGCATGAAATGAATAGAATGATAAAATGAGGGCCATTCAAAGAATGCCAAAATTGTCAGGTTTCAGAGAAAGATGACGCGTGCCGATAGTTATAAAAAGAGGAGCACAAGTTCTCCCTTGATCAATGTTTCTGATTTCTTTTTATCTTTAACGGTGGCTTTCTTTTAGATAAGTTTTATTGGTTAGCTTTTGATCCAATCTGTGCATAAAGATTGCAACGTTGATGGGATCCGTGCACTGATATGTGAATCCGAGACACTTACCTGAGTATAGAATCGAGGCACAGAGGCCAAAGCATTGGCTATGTTTGTAAGTATGGTGACTGTTGGCGCTGGGTACACGTAGGCCAGGTGGCCTGGTAACGAATGATGTATTCTGTTGTAAGAAAGGTCAGATAAAAATAATAAATTTTCGGAAATTGTGATCATTCATCAGATGAAAACAAGGCTGGAGCGTTTTGAAACGGGGAAGACGGGACAGCTAAAGGAGATGATCCGCTACTTAATACTGCGCAAGACAACCATTACGGTTAGACATGAGCTCTGACACGGGTTGGAAAGTGGGGGGGGGGTGCAAGAGAAAATTTAAAATTCATTACTAAAGATTTTGAAATAGCTCTTCTGTTTTGAAAAAAGTGGGGGGTATGGCCTACAGCCAACCGCTCCAAACAATTCAAAAATTTATTTACATGAATCAAACAATGAATTCAAGCTGTGGGTATACATTTGCATGAATCAAACAGGACATCAAGGCAATGGATGATATGAAAAGACTGACAATTTTATTTGAATTCTTTATACTAAAAATATGCTCTGCTTCACTACTTCTGAAAACGACCTTTTGCTGTAAACTCCGTGCAGCAGGTCTTGGCCTCCTTGCAATTGGAGGATTAGATATTTATTTAAAAACATAATTAGCTCTGTAGCTGCTTTTAAGTCTTACCTTAATCATGGAAAATTAAAACATGTTTTTATCTGTATCTGACTCGTTTCACACTAGGTAGACATTATTTTGCTTCCATAAAACATGTTTTGTAATTAAACTTTAAACAATCATGCAAGATACTTGAGGTCATAACAGCCACCTCATGAGACTGGACACAAAGTTGACCATTTTTTTTCAAATCCGCGATTGCGCATATGCATATATGAATGTGTAAGTTCAATTTACTGAGAAGTTTGGAGGCAAAGCGCTAAAATTATGTGTTGGAAAAACTAAAGCTATCATTGTGCAAATAAAATTCAGCACAGTGATAAAGTTCTGCTCAATTTTGTCTAGATACCTCAAAGTGAAACCTTACAGTTCACATACCAAACCATATTTGAAAACTTCTAATAAAAAAAAGTTGGCTTTCTGAAATAAAAAAGGGTTTGCCGGTAAAAGTATCACAAATACACGTTCTTATTCTTTTTTAACTTTGTTTTCTGCATTCGTGAAATACGTCACACACACCCCTATTCCCTCCATTCGTTTCTGCCGTGCATGACTGAATCAACATCTTCCTTTTTCTCACATACATGTTACTGAATTAAAAACCACAAACTTACCCAAGCTTTGGAGCTATTCCAGACACAGTTTCGTCTTTTTGATCATCTTTGTTTTCATTTGCATTGTTTTTCTCGTTTTTAGAAGAACCAACATTTGATGCTTTGTTCAATACTTTTCTACAAAGAACAACATTCATAGGTTAACAGCATTCACCTACGTGCACTAAAAAAACTGGATTCAAACGCTTCTAGCAAAGATAAGAAAGTGCACTATGTTTGAAGGAAACAAAGCAATCCAATTTCTTTTTAAATTCAAACAAGGCACTAAAAGTAGAGCAAGTCAATGTTCTAAACGTAACCAATATAGTTGGAATCTAGGAAAATTCGATATTTATAAACATTGTGAAGAGAGCTATTGAAGTCAGATAACTAAGAAATAACCTATCTGAAAAGTTAATTAGGCGTTCACGAACGTAACATTATCAAATATTTGAGCTGCACATAAGGCTTGACAGTAGGTGTTGTACAAAAAACAGTTAGAATATAAACGATTTCTGCAAATCAAGGTTTCTTAAAGACTAAGGTTTCTGTGCAGCTATTTTTAAAAAACAATTAATTTCACAGATTAAAATTAAAAAATTCTTATGCTTGTGACAATTTAACATTGGAAAATTTTACCTTAGTTTAGTAGTAAAATATAACATGGTACTATGCTATATAAAGGCCATACACTGTAAAACCTGTTAAAAGGCACACCTGCTTTCATGAATATTAGCTGCTTTCTCACAGTCATTATTTGCATATTCTGCTCTCAGTAAACAGCCAAGAAGATCCAACTGATGGAGTCGTTTCAAAGCCTTTTAAAACAAATTAAGAAAACAAAGTTACATTTTTTTCTAAAACTTGAATAGCTGATTCAAACAAGGATAATTCAAAAACATTGTTATGTAAGACTTTAAAAAGAGATGAACCAAACAAACACATACCACTTCTGCTTCCTTCTGATTTGCAAATGCTAGAAATGCTGAATTCTTCTACAAAAAAAAGAAAGTAGGTAATAGAATAATCACCTTAGTGCTATGGGCTTCTTCAAAAAAAGTTGAGCAGAAGTTTTCTGAGCTGAATACACCCAATCCAACTCCAGCCTCCTTTTGAAAATTTCTCCCAACTTCATTATTCGACTTTTTCAAGCTCAAATTTTTTGTATCACCATAATTTAGGCTGGATACAATTTTTCACACTTTTTCTGCTTGTATTTTAGATTTTAGGGAGAAATGAAATTTGAAAACTAGTAAGGGATTTGACTGCAAAAATGTTTCGGATTAAATTTTACCCCCTAGTCGCCAATCATGGTCAATTCCCTTATACAATTTTCATCTTTATGTCGTCATAAAATCAATATCTGGAGCAATAAAATAATAAAAACTTCCAAGTAGTCTAAATTCTTGCACTTAATCCGGATCTGAGGTCAACAATTTTGTAAAAAAAATGTAATGATTTTTCAAAATGAGGCTGTAAGTTGAATTGGTGTATTAGCAGATGGCATTCAGTGTCATTAGTTCAATAAGTGGTTTTCCTCACAATTAATCGGTCCCTACCTGAAACATTTCGGTCCATGCAGGGCTTTCACGTTCAGAAATTGGTGCGCATAACAAAAAAACTCAGTGTGGTCAGTGATCAGTGTGGGGCGCGCGATTCAAATTTACTTCATAAAACAAAAAAATGAAGTTTTTTGAAACTGAAATGCTTTATTTAAAATGAGCAAAATACTTCATTTGCTAAAAATGTTCAAGTTCTACCTCAGAGAAGCCAAGTGTCTCGAATTTCTCATCAGTATCTGACTCTGACACATCGTCCGTTGATCGAGCTTCGATTTCTTTCTGAGTATGGATACTTTCCTGAATGTTTACTTTTATTCTCCGTTTCGTGTTCAAATATAAGTCCACAGTTCTTTCGATGATTTTCTCCCTTTCATCTTTATTCCAAAGAGAATTATTGCCATAAACGATAAAATTATCGTTAAGAGTACTGTGCGAGAAAGAGAGGTGTTTGTTATGTTGCTTTTCCAAATTTCGACATAAAAACGCTTGCCATTCTGCACCGGTTTGAAAATTCATCGTGGCTATACGTTAGAACAGACTTCCATAAATGTTTTGCATTAGGGAACTTACGAAAGTAGCTTTGCATTTGTACGAAGTTCTTTAAACTCTTCCATTCTCGCAAAACCATTTCGTCATTGTATGCTGAAAAAGCTAGTGGCTCTTGAAAGTGTAAGGCTAATGTGACGATATCAGCATTTCCATATTGACTCTCGTCTAACTAAAACTGGGAATCCATCAATCTCATTTTGGAGAACACTGCTTTAATCTTCAAAGCTTTGCTTGAGTATCTCTTCAAAAGCCCTGTTCATGTATGAGAATTTGCACATGTAGCAAGTCTTACTGCCACAAGAACATTACACTTTTTTTACAATACAACCAGTACCTGCTCAGACAAAATAGTCTGACATACACAAAGCTTGGCATACAATGAAATCAAATGAAGCACTGGACATTGATAAGACAAGGTCCCATTGGTTAGCCCTTCTTATTTTAAAAACACAATTTACCTTCAGAGGTCATTGCACAGTGACAGTTCTTCAGGATCATTTCAGTAAATATCAGGCCTCCGTTGGAAAAAGTGGTTGCCAGGGCTACAAAGTACCCTGTAGTGGCAACTCACCTTTATGTTTGTTATGAAAAAATATATTGGATGGTATATACACATCGGATGGTATCTTACTACTATACTATACTACTATAGGATGGTATTTTTATTAGTGGTTAGATCTTCTACAATTGATCTAATTCTATGGGCTCTATCAATCGTAAGGTCAGGAATAGCAACTTTCAAATCTTGTTCCAACATGTTCTTTACATCTTTAGGCAAAAATCACCTGATTCACCATCTGATTCATCTGTAAGCTCCACTCCATATATCTGCAGACAAAGCCTTCTTTGATACTGCTTCGCTTCATATCCACAAAGCTCAAGCTTAGCTAATTGCTCCTCGTTCTGTTGTATTTTGCCTTTGTTTACTTCTATGTGATCGATGTATCTCTCTAATAGCACAACTTTAGCTTCAAGTTCTTGTATCTTACTTTGTTGATCTTTAATACTTTCATGTAAAGCGAGAATGCAGTCCTTTGTGGTAAAATCTTTCTTTAAATCAGCTAATTTTCTTATTAAAGTTATCAGCTACTAGAGCAGGAGGAGCTTCATTCGAGACTCCTTTGTCTCCCATGTTTCATTCATTGACACACTCCGGGCCTAGAAAGCATTCTTCTTTTCGCAATTTGGTTCTGTTTTTCCTTAACATATCACAAAACCAATTTCAATTGAGCTACTACTTTCTTAATATTGGATAAGAAGTTGATTTAGTTTGCATTCATATCACAATTTCCCCAAAACCTGCCAAATCAGTGCCTAAGAGACAAATGGGTGTCTGTCCGCCATTGATTGATTTTCCATACCAGCAGCAAAGTTAATAAATAAAAGAAGAATAATAAAAAGGTCATAAGAAACCAACCAAGTAAAGGTTTGGGACGACTGCACTTTAGCGACCCACTTTTCTGTTCCCTGGTCGGAAGCTGAATTGAATTACAAACCTTTCAATCTAGCCTGGTTTCTTAAACAATCGAAAGTTCAAATCTCAGAATCTCAGCCAGTTAAGGATTCATTCTCGCACAATTGCAGCTATACATGAGTTTGAGTTTCAAAATCAGTTTGAATGACTTTGCTATTTTATTTTTTTAGCTGCCTTAGGGGCTACCGCCCCCAAACCCCCGTTAATTCATAATAGATTGATTCATTTTACTCCATATCAAGTTGTAAACAAATGTATTGGTTTATTCAAATCTTCATTCTCACTGTTGCCCGCGTCATCGTTGATAGGTAGTATCGATTCAATTCAACTTTCGACCAGGAAACAAAAAAGTGGGTCGCTAAACTGCAGTCTAGCCAAAGTTTTCTAACAGGTAAATTTTCATCATCCTTTTGAATTTTCCGCATCGCAGTCTGGATTTCATGGGAGTTTTTGATGAAATCTCGGGAGTGCACAAGCCATTACCTGGGAGTGCAAGAATGCATTTGCGATAAGTGTGTCACTGGCTGTAAGGACAGAATAATACCAATCCTATCATTAGATCAAAAATAAAATGCTTCAAGTTTTCAGCAATACTGATTGAGCAATGCAAGCAGTTTATCTCCATACATACCATTTTGCCTTTCTTTCCGAAACAAGTAGTGTATTGTGCTCCAAAATGATTGAAAAAATCTTTTATATCACCTTCAGAAAATTGTGAAGGTATATTTCGAACAAAAAGTTTTCCATTATTCTCCGAAGCAGATTTTCGGGCCGCCGCCATTTTCAAGTTTTGTCAGAACGAGGCCGTAGATGTCAACCGCGAACGAGGCCGGAGTAGTTTAGATTCCATGCTGCTCGACCTGATGACGTAATGACGTAATTGACCCAAAACTTAACCCTAACCTAAACCTAACCCTTAACTTGAAATAAATATTCATGCTAATTTATGACTATTAATCATGCTAATTTATGACCATTACATTGCGGACAGAAAAATTTCGGACAAAATATTTTCGGACATTTTAAAAGTTATTTCGGACGTTTCGAGAGAAATTTCGGACGAATACAAAAAACCACGAGAAAACTGAGGGGGGGGGGGGGCATCTCAGAAAGGTGATCTAAATCTTTTAGTTTCAACAAATTTAGTGAAGAATTAATGCATGCAGCAGTTTAGAGAAAATTCTCGAGCAATTCATATTATTCAAATCAAGCAAAAGACACCTGCAGAAGAGGCAAGAAAAGTCTTGCAGCAAACGCTTGTCCTTTCCATCAACAACAAAGATTATAAGCAACAAAACTAATTTGTTACAAGTAAGAAAAAATTGTTTTATAAAATTGTCTGAATTGTCTTTCCAAATCTGGTTTAGTGTAATTTGATACGGAGATTTTCATGTCGTGAGTCAAACACTGCATCGTGAGAAACTTCTTTCGGCAATGTTACCGAAATCAACAATAAATTATAGGGGCAAATTTCCAAGAGAGTCTCCAAAGCCGTATCAAATTTTTATAAACTTTATAAACTTTATTGGAAATCGTCAATATTATCGATGACATGAGAGATAAATTTCAAACTGGGGGGTGCTCCAGCCCCCCCCAGCCCCCCAAAGAAATTTGCAGCTGAATAAAGCGTTCATGAATAATAGAATTGCTAGCAAAATGTATAATTGTTCAAGTAGGGAAAAGAAATCGTCAGCTTGCGGTAAACCTCAACTGTTTCAAAGAGTACAAGATTTAGTCTATGTCCATAGCAGTGCAAATAATAAGCCATTTGTGCCTTATCTCTCATGAGTTTTTGGACCCCACCTAGCCTCCCACTCATAACACTCGCTCCATCAAATCCCATACCTATCAGGCATCCTTTGTAGTCCAAGCCCATCTGCTCGAGTTTGCTTCATATAGCTTTACTCATTGATTAAGCATCTAATTCCTTCATTGCCATGAAGGTTATAAAGCATTCCTGGATGTTTTTGCATCCTCTTGGAAAAGTCGTATTACAAAAGACAATTGTTCTGTTTTTCTGACATCTTTTGATTCATCAGCTTGTATTGAAAAAATCGTGATTTTTTAACACTCTCTATGATTTTCTCAAGAATCATGGTTGCCAAGGTTTCTATGACTTCATTTTGTATCGAGAAGGAAGTATACTTTTCATTCTTTGGTCCACTCTTTACACGGTTGGCCATAACAGGGTCATGTTTAGCAATTAATCGAAGCAACTTTCTGACGTTACCTGGATTTGTAACATCGTCACCCTCTCTATGTCCTTTCTGCGCAATGTTTTGAGTGGCAATGATGAGAATGACTTCTCCAATCGTCTTCATATAATGGCAATTTTCGCTGACTTTTTACGATAGTTTTCATTTAAAACCTGTTCTACGGATGTTTTGACAGCTTTGTTTCTCTCATAATCACTAAAAGACATTATTGAAGCTTTGTGGCATTGAGAGTTGATGTGCTTCGTTATTGCACCCTCCTTTCCATGTGCTTTTTTCCATGGATGAAATCCAGTCTTAGTAAATGCCTCTTCAGCGTTACCATAACCAGGCAGGGGCGAAACTACCGGGGGGGTGTGGGGGGGTGTAACACCCCCCCAATCCAAAAAATAGTCGATTTCGCAGGGCAATCGAAGATTTCGCAGGGCGCCAAGAAGAGCTTTATTGCCACGCAGAAATGCCACCTCTGAAGTTCGTAAAGGGCCGTTTAGGAATTTTGAAATGGAAATATCGTATTTGTTATGAACCTCCCTTCCTGACATTGCATTTTAGAGAACGGAACAGGTATGTAAGGAAAAGCTTCGTTATTTGCAAAGCGAAAGCATGTCTTACCGAAAGTCATAGCCAATGGATGCAATGATTGATGCATATGTTTATGAGGGCAAGGTTGAGTCCATGCAAATTAATTTGAGTTGTAAATTATTTTCATGACAAGCACGGCGTCACAGGAGGGGAATAAGAGGCTGAAGGCCCAGGGGAGGGGCAGAGGCAGAGGGGAATTTTATTTCCTGAACAGAAATGTGCAGTTTCTTGTCTCGAGAAGGCCGTGTTTACACATCCAAAATTATAACATTGCAATGATACAGAAAGTGATTTACTGAATTAATGCAAATAAAAGAAAAATAATAAAAATATATGTGAAAAAGTTAGCAATTAGATGAAACAAAATCGGTATCTTAACGATTTATTATGTTTTTTAGTTCATGCACTGTTAAAAAGTAATAGAAAAAATGATAAAAAAATTCTTATCTTGACCAAAGTGACAATAGTATTTTGCTAAATTTTTGTCTGAAAGATGCTTTTTAGCCCTTTTACAAGGTATAATTTCAAAAATTTTCTTCACGTCGGACCCAACCATGGTGGGTCCTCCTTCCTCACTAAACTTGATTCTTAGCCCCACTGGGCTAAATTTCGTTGCGCTGTCTACATCATGTACCCTCCCCCCCAATTAGCTGTTTATTAGCTAGTATTTTGCAAACCAACATTAAATGAAGTGAATATAAAAAAAACAATTTACGCTCAAGTAGAGAAATAAATATTTCATGGACAATGAAGTTTCAAGTTTGTTTTTATTGCTTAGAAGTTTGTCCTTGGTAAAGACCAGTGTACACTGGTAAAGCTTTCACTAGTAACCTATAGACAAACCGTTGCTACGAGGTCTGCAGGGCACCATTCAGTTTTGCAGGGCAGAAACCCTTTTCACCCCCCCAAACCTATTGGCCAAGTTACGCCCCTGTAACCAGGAGGGCAGAAATGTCGACAGGGAAAGCAAAACATTGCATCAAATCCTTGTGAATACTCGGCCCAACTGTAGCGCTCATACCAACTTGCTACAGATAATCTACTTTGAGATGTCCTTGCACTGTACTTTGGATAGGTCTCGAGCAATGGCCTAGATAATTGATCTCCAGCCTGTTGAGATATGTCATTTGGCGCCACTTTCACTCCTGTATCTTCTTTTCTAGCCTTTTTAGCTTGTAGCTCCTTATCATTTGAGTCCTTGCGCTTTCTGAAACTTAAAAACCTATACATTATTGAAAAGCACAACCCTTGGGCGAAAAAAATTCGATGAATAGCAGTAGTTTCGCAACAATTTCGAAAAATTATTACAACTTTAGTGACAGGAAGCCATTAGCAAAAAACGGTTGAAATAGGCCCACCATCTAACAACGAACCCTAGGACCTAGCAAGAGTATATAGGCATTATAATGAATAATTAAATTTCATATCAAAAGCTACGTATAAAGCATATGGATGGAAACACTAACCAATAACCAAAATCTTCTTAGAAAAGTGGGGGGGGGGCAAATGAAAGGGCAGGAAGAAGTTCTGGGGGCCAAGGCCCCACTAGCCCTCCCTAGAAACGCAACTGCTGTTTAAATGGATTCTCGTCAGGAACCTCAATTGTGGCAATGGGAATGATGCCTGCCATTTCAAAGGCCTTAATGATCATTTGTCGGTTGTTTTGCATTTGATCATAAAAGCTGATCAAGCAACGTGCATGCAAAGGCTTGACGATGGACAGCTTCCTCTCGATGTTCACTGAGAACACATTTATTCCTTTTTCGATTTCCTTTGTCACTAGCTCAGCATACCAATTTCCAAATTTTCATTTTAGAAACTGCTTTGCATGACCATTTATATTCAGATCTAATGACTGCAAATGGGCCGAAAACAAACGTACAATTGTTTTCTCACATCACACTCGTTTTGTTGATTGTCCTTTGAAGAAATATAATGCTAAAAGAGCTTTTTGATCATCCGATAGTTTAAGATGATGTCTCTTCGTTGACAAATAAGAAAACAGCATTTTCTCCAGATGTTTAATCGCAGATTCTTCGCAGCTCCGATGATTTGACGTATGAATGACATTAAACCATTAAATTCTTTATTGGAAGTCGATTCCTTTCGGGTGGTGGCAACGGTCAGTTTTTCTACTCACTGTAAAGGTTCCAATGGTCTGTTTCTGTTTTCCTTTCCTGACGATTGACACAGATTTTGAGTCAAGAGTTGTGTTGCTAGTACACCCATATGAAAGTTGTGTCTCGTCAAAATTCAAAATTAACTCTTCTGGAATGTTGTGGCTGTCAACCGCCTTTTTAATATTACGCTGAAAGGTGAATTTTTCTTCTTCTAACAAAGCCGGTCTAAGATGCGTTTTGGTACCCTATGCAAAAATGTAACATTGTAAAACGCAATGTGTTTCAAATCATGTGATTTTATCGTAGTGCAAAATTATGACACGTTATAAATAACAAATTGAACAAAATGCTTTTTGAGTTTAAAATTTAACACTTTTCAATCAAAAAAACTTTGGAGTCGCCATTAATGTTGTACTTTTTGCATAAATTAACAAGGGAAATCACAGCACCGCTTCTTGTTAGTACCCCCTTGTTAGAAATGGCTCTATTGTTCTTCACATTCTGAACAAAATGAGCCAGAACATTTGTATACCTGGACCGGTTCACATGCTAAATTCCACCATTCGTTATGGTACCCTATTGTTTAAGTGCTTGGGTACGTTTTTGTATAACCAAAATTGCCATGCATTTGAGTATCCGGACCGAAATGCATAAGGTTACCAAAACGCATATGACACCGGTGCAACAGGAATCTTGCAGGTTGTTGTCATGCGCATTTTCATTCTTTTGCCTCGACAATCCATTTCATTAAAAATGTTTCTTGCTCATACGACAAATGTCCGTCATTTTCTACAAGCTGCATTCTGTCATTGCAATGACAATTTCTTTGGAAATGACGTTAAATACTAATCTGCTTATTGGTGCCACTTTCAGTCGAAGAGACTTCACTGTATCCATA